GATCTGTTCTGGTACTTCTGCTATATATTTAGATATATTCTTGATAAAATTCAAAGAAGATGTGCAATGTTATTGGTCCTGAACAGGCATTTCAGCTTCAGTCACCAGAACATAGCATTCCTGTACCTTTTCTATAAATATTTTCATGGTAATTGTTCTGAGAAACTTTCTGCTATGGTACCTAGACTCTATGAATTCAAGCACAGTACTAGATTGGCAGCAAGCATTCATCATTTTACAGTTGAAATGGCCAGAGATGTAACCCTAAGTTCTTTGCTAACAGTTTCTTCTATTGCAATTCACTGTTCCGGCTTCTTGCTTCCCAGCTGACTTTGATCTTCAAAAATTTAAATGCAATGTCAATTGTTATCTTCTGATTTTTTAATTGTTTTTCTTTTATTGTCCTCTCCAATTAATATTAGTTTATCTCATATTCTCTAACACTCAGTAACCCCTTGCATCTTAGTGGCTTTATTGCCTTGCTTGAGGTGAAATGATTAAAAAAATATCTTGAGCAGGTTGGCAGCTTTGTGACCTTGTTTAAAAGCAAAGGGAAAAGGATGCCAAACATCCTTATTCTTGTCTACTTGGCATTCCATCTCAATAGTGGAGGGTGTAATTTGAAATAAAATTTCAATAACGTTAGTCAACAGTTTCAGACGATGACCAGAATTAGTAAGAAACAAAAAATACTGCAAAAGGTTATTCTTTGAGATCATTTGCAGAACATCAGAAAAAACAAAAAAACAAAGGAATATATGTAACAACATAATACAAAGAAATGATTCTGTTGTCCAAACATTTTATTTATCAATGGCTCTTCTCAAAGTTATAGACATTAATATATGCAGTATCTTAATTTGTTTGTCTCTCTCTCTCTAACCAAAATATCTGTAATAATAATTTTTTTTTTTTATATGTTTTGGGTAAAAGAGGTGTAAGACATTTTAGAATTGTTGATTCACTTACTATAAACACATCATTATATGTTTGCTCACATTGGCAATGCTTAAGGCAGAGAAAAGAATATATAATCTTGGATTCAAATGCAGTTTCTTTCATCTTTACAAATAACTATGAGTTGTAAAGCTTTTTTCTTTTTTTTATGACAGTTGTACTTTTAGATTTGGAAAATAAAGTCTAAACTATTTTAGGTATAAAAAAAGTTTGAGCAGTAGTTTAATAGAAGTATGCTTTTTTTTTTCTTTTATGAAGAGGGAATCTAATTTAGGATATTCTCTACTTCCAGTGTGACTCAGTAGGGTTGGTTTATAAGACTGCACCAAGGGACACCATCTGAGGGAGTGAAACCAAAATTAGTGTCTAAAAATTTTTATAAAAGTCTTTCAGTTGCAGGCATTCTTCTCATTATTGCTCTTGTTGGTGATTTTGTATAATTTTCCAATGTTTTTATCTTCACTAGTTTCCTAGTTTTGTATATATATATATATATATATATATATATAAACAAAATTGACATCATTTTCTACCTTAGGATCGTTTCAGCCAATGCTTTTTCAAAGGCAATCGTTGGCAAAATACAAAACAATCAAGGTACAACAATAATAGAGATAGAGGAGGGAAACTTGGAACATGATTAAAATAAAATAAATTTTAATTGTAAATAATTAATAAAATGATTAACAAGTTCCACAAGGGTATAAAATGGAAAAATAAACTCACAGCCCCTTGATCAATCATAAGGAATGTATAAAATGCTCCTTTTGTCTACATAGGCTTGGCTGGTAAATTTTTATATACACAGCCTCGAGAACTCGGAGGTGGTAAACTGAGCAAGCACTATGTAGAATAGAAAACCATGTGTCCTCATATTCAGTGGCATAATCAGGACTGTCCAGCAAATGCTGCCCAATCAACGAATTGTGGACTGCTTGAGTAGTTCTTGAAACTTGGCTTTGAATACTTGAATGCAAATAGGCAGAAACATGTTGCGAAATCTGCGTTTCCAACCACAGATTGGTTCGTTCTATGTATGCCGCTTCACATTGGCATTTAAATTTGTAGACAAGTAAATTCTTCTGAAATTAGAGCAAACGATCCTCACTGAAGGAAGGGAATGCAGATTTTGTTTGAAACCCAGTGCGCAACTTAACAGTATTGTAACATGAAAAAATACAAACTGAAATTCTGTCAGACAACAACTGACACTTTCTACCAAGCCAAGGCAACTTTAACATTTTTTTCCTTTTTATACTCTTGTGGAAATTGTTAATCATTTTATTAAGTATTTACAATTAAAATTTACTTTATTTTAATTGCATTCCAACTTTCCCTTCTCTTTCATTGTTGTTAATTGTTTTGTATTTTACCAATGATTGCCTTTGAAAAATGTTAACTGAAAGTATGCTAAAGTAGAAAATAATGTCTGCTTTGTCCTATCTCTATGGGTACAAGTCTCTTATATATATATATATATATATATATATATACACACATACACTCCCAAAGTTAACACATCCCATTCCTAGCAAGTAATAAAACTGTCAAAATGACCAAGGAGGGAATTCTGAAAGTCAGGAATCTCTGATCCTCTATCTTGAAAATAATTTGAAAGAGGCCATTTAACCAATACAAGGACTGACCAAAATTAACAATAAAAGACAAATGAAAACGACAGATAAAGTTCATTTTCTTCAGAGACAGTCATTCACTCCTGTAGTTCACTGCTACTAACAAGCAGACATTTTTTCTCCTGATGATGGCTGAAACTAGCTGAAGAACATAACTGAAATGATAAAACAAAAAAATATTAATATACAACCCAGTGTGTCTGAAAATTTTAAACGTTCTAATATTTTTATTGTTCAAAACACACATACACACACACACACACACATATATATATATATATAACATTAGTTATTTGTCTTTGTGAATCATGAAGAATAAATTTTGGTGAATGAATTAATAAATGAAAATAATGGAAAAATTACTAACACTTATGTAATCCAGTACAGAAAGATTTGACAAAACAAATTTCTCAGTAGTATTTAATCTACAGAACATTAGATTAAGAAATTTAAAATTATCAGTTTGATTCATAAACAATTGTTGTATTTGCTTAACAAATTTTATTCTTCAAAAAATAAGTATGATTAAATTTTATTCACTTATGTATTCCCCATTAATAGCAATGGATTGTTGCTATGTATCAGGCAGCGTTTTGGTACATTTTAAGTAAAATTCTGCAGGTTCTTATATGAAAAAGCTTTTTCAACAAACTCTTAAAGCTAGTTTTCATTAGAGAAAGTTTCCCTCATCAAAGCATTTTGCAGCAATCACAAATTGGTTAGTGAAAGGTTACGTGAACATAGTGGGTGGTGTAAAACAGACCAACTAAGTTCTTAATTGTTTTCCTGTGTTATTCTTGCTGTATACAGCCTTGCATTGTCAACATTTTTACATTAGTCCACTGTGTATGCTGCTACTGTTATATGAAAATTAAGGTATGTTAGTGTACTCCAAATTTATTCTGAACTGCCATGTAGGATTAGAAGTTAGGATAATACATTTCTCATTACAAATGGTTCACCAAAATGAAATTCCTCTGGACTCAATATATTTTTCATATATAATTCTTTTTCAGGGCATGATGATAAACTACATCCAGCAGTGAAGTCTCTGATTGGGAGATTAGTGGTTTTGAGGAATGTGAAACAACCTCTTAATTGCTGTTGTTCTGAGGTCCACGCAGACTTGGGGTGGTAGCACCTGTTAGTGTTTTGGCTATGGGCAAATAGTGACTCCCTTACTAAACAAAAAATCAACAATACATTTTTATAGTAAAATTACCAGTAATATATTTTTGTAGTTAAACTACCAGCAACACATTTTATGATCTAAAAAATACACCATTTATCTTGAAAGTATAAAATTATATACAAAATATTTAGATTTCAGTATTTAAAGAGCCATGGAGGTTGATATGCTACTAAACAAAAGAAATTTACAATGATGTAACAATTATTTTAATGGTATTAATAATTATTTTAATTATTTGACAATAAATGCATGATTAATCTTGACTCATAAGAATATTAGTATATTTAAGAAACATTAATGAAAAAGTGTCATTTTAATTATGCTTATTATTTATGACTTTATTCTTGTCAGTATAGTCATTAATTTTATTAGTAAAAATATTTTTAAAGATTCTGTATGATTCATGTTGTCGTATGTTCTATGGTTGTTTCCATTCATCTCGTAAAGGGGGTTGTAACTCTGGTTTAAATAATTATGATCCACCTGTAACATTTATAGATACAAAACTACTCATAACAAAAATGAGAAACAGCAAGATCTGGAAACAAAATGAATATTATTTATTATCTGGTTAACAGTAGTTATACAGTGTTAGAGCCCCAAAATACAGCAATACTGAGTAAATTGTGGACAAAATAGGGATCAGAATCTGACAGAATGATAAGATAAAGAATTTAATGAAATTTATAGTCTTTAGTGTATGTTTTTTTTTTTTTATAAAAAGGGTATAGTGCCATTTTAGTCAGTTATGTGCCATGCATGATACATGCTAAGGCAATCATGTACCTTTCGATACATGACTGACGAGGCAGATTTTTCCTGCAGTAGGTTGCCATTTCTTTCTGCAGTAGACCAGTTGCCATCCAAGGCTACAGATCCCGGTCTGTCTGCTATTTACCCATAGCTTTTAAGAAAGTTGGTGAAAAAAAGATGTGTCTTAAATTTTCCTACCTTTCCTACATGCATCAAAATTTAATTATACAAATTTAAAATAAATATTTTAAGAGAGATAAAATTGAAATTCAATTACTTTGTTATTCTGGTAAAAATATCTGAAATGTGATTAATATTCAAGTCCATATGTAAAACCTTTATGTCAAAACAAATCTTTAACACTCTGTATTGAAAAATAATATATCTACCCAACTGTTCTTTTTTTTTTTTTTTTGTTAAATTGTTATCAGGTCCTCACTATTTCCTTTTATTCTTACAAACAGGATGATGTTTGCATTACAGCTGTGGCAGGACCCTGGGACATTGAATCCTTTGCAGAAGAAGATTTCAACAAGGTGATACACTTTATTCTGGAAATATAAAGCACTTCTGTACAGCATTCATTTTTGTTATAAGATATAGATAAGTCTTTGGAATTATGGTTTCAAATATAAATCAAACAGAACTTTCTCAAAGATTTCTTTATTATTGGTTAAAATAGAAATAGTTTATGTCCTTCAAACTTGGCAGATGTACAAGCCATTTCCTCTACCTCACTCAAGATCAATAGCTTATTACAAGTGTAAATTACAATAAAAATGGTAATCTAAGTTTTATAACTTGTATTTATCTTACTTTTTTTGTTAATCATTTCACTCCAAGCAAGGTGAAAATGCCACTAGTATGCAGGGAGTAACAGAGAGTGAAAAGACTGAATATAGGGGGTGTTAATGTTGTAGTTATTGCCCTTGTCTTTTGGTTGTTGTTTAGTGTCACCAGGTGGTGGCTTCTATAAAATGCTGGCCACCATATTGAAAATGTTTCATTTGTTCAGTTGTCAATATTCATACCAACAGGAGGATTACCTTATTGCAGATGCAATTGATTCATTGAGGATTAACAGAGAGGATTGAGGTAAGGGCAAAAGATGAATGGTTTCAAGAAGATATGACAGCAATTGACATTGCATTTAAATTTTTGAACATTGTATTTATCAGGGTAGCAAGTAAACAGAAGGGAGTTCAACTTACACTCAACAAAAGCAAGTGTTGGAATAACAATTTTTTTATGACCCCCAGCTTAATGTTCCCATATAAAAAAAGATAATTTTTTATTGGTGCTTGTAGAACAAAGTTTCAAATCCAGTTTAACAATATTTAATGACAGGATTGTTTCATAAATTTGGTGGCATAGTTATTGTGAGTTCAGTCCCTGTGCTGGGTATTACAGACTTGAACTCAGCGGAAACAGTCAGCAATAATTGAGCAGTACTAAAACAAGAACAAAATATACTTAGATATAAACAGTGGAATGCAACCAAGAGAGCATGTACTTGATCAAAACAAGTAGGGTCATTTGACAAACCCCCCCAAATGTATAATGAAGTTATGAAAACATCATTGATGACACATTTTGGAGGATTTGAAGAATGTATGTTATGAACTATGTTTGAGTTAGATTACATATCAGACTTAACATTATTTCCAATTTATGGTGATCAATTTGAACATGGGTTTTTGATACCCTTTCTCAACAGGATGGGTATTGCAAAAGCATATTTAGTGTGTTGACTACTTCTACAATTAATGTATAAGAGTATCTTACATGAAATGATGATAGTGAAAAGGTAAATGCACAAATAAGAGACCAATTGATTTGCAATGCAAGATAACATTTATTAACAAAAATAACAAAAATTTCTTTTGCTAGAAGTAAATTGCCTAGACAGCGAAAATTGTTAATGAATGTATTTGAGTGTGACTTGACTGTGCAGGTATGTTTGTTCGTGAAGTGTCCATTGGCTCTTTTGCTTTGGAATGAAAAGTTGATGGCACACGCTTCAAAAGGAGGAAAAACAGGCAAAGAGAGTTATGTAAGGGTTTGCCTGTTTTTATACTCTCAAGACTGCTGCTGATAATATTACACATATATTTAGAATATATCTTAATGGTAATCCTGTTCCACAAGCAAAGGTGAATAATATCATCTTTTTTATGGGAATATTAAGCTAGAGCTTATAGAAAAGCAACTGGTATTGCCCCCATTGTTTTTTTTTTTTTTTTTTTTACTATAAGCATAGACAAATGTAAGTTTAATCTTTTTTTTATATTTTTTTATATTTGTTTATACTTGTTGATTTCATGCTTAAGGTGTGGAAAATTAATGCACCTCTTGCTTAATTTGAAAGACGAAAAACCCAGAATTTTTGTCCATCTGGAGCCTTGTTGAATAGAATATATTCAGCTTACAGTGGATAATGGTAAATAGTAATAATGAAACCTCCAAATTCATTGTTTTAATAGACAGTCATTCAGTTGGTGATGTCATCAAGTCATGGCCTGATACAGGATTTCGCAGAGGACTTTTTTTGATGTCATACAAAACCACCCCTGTTATTTATATTTAATGTTTCACAGAGGAGGCTTGTATTTCACTAAGTTGGTCCTAAAAAGGTTCGACGTACCAAACGTTAGGAACTTGATATAATAGTTAATAACACAGCAATCTAGTTGTGGTGGCTGATACTTTAATATCCAACTAATGGTCGTCCAACATCAACTGACTGACCAACTCACTGAGCGACTGGCGACTGCTACTACTCATACTTATTATAGGTGGGAAAGTCTTTTAACAATAGAATAGGTGTGTTCCAGTATAACATTTCCCCCCTAAAACTTTACTCCGTAGGAGTAAACGGTTTTCTTTTCATTTTATAGATTTTTCTCTTTCCCCTTCTCAGTTATTTCCAGAATTTTGTTTTGAAACTCCTTATACATCTGTTCCATTTCTTGTTGAAACTGCATCTGTCTATTAAAAGTTTCCTCCTGTAGTTGCATCTGGAATGTTTTCTGTTGCTCTAATATTGTCATCTGTTGTTCTGTCTGGAACTTAAAGAATTCCTGGAATATATTTTTGCATTCCTCCATCTTTCGCAAAAAGTTTACACAATGCTTAAATATTGTAGAGGTGGGGGTCCAAAACTGAATTTGCAGTTCGTGACCTATTTGAGCAAACTGTCTTATCGAGAAAAAAAAAATTCTTTTCTTAGTTGAGAATATGACAGATTTTTTTTCGTCACTAAGTTGACGTCTTCCGAAAAACTTTGCCAAGTTTTTTTTTTTTTTTTAAAATGTGAATCCGAGATGTTGTAGCCAAAATTGTGATGAGCAAGTTTTTTTCTTTTTCCTCTGTATGAGTACAAATTTCATCACCAAATAATGTGGCAAGCGAATTTTTTTTTTTTCTTTTCCACTGTATGAATCCAAATCCTTGTGGCCAAATTCATTATGGCGGGTGAAAATTTTTTTTTTTCTCTTCCACTGTATGAATTTCGAATCCTCGTGGTCAAGTGTTTTATGATGAACAAAAATTTTTTTTCCTCCGTATGAGTATGAATCCTTCATTGCCAAGTTGTTGTAGAGTAGTTTCACAGTGGAGGCTTGTATTTCTAAAAAAGGTTCGACGTACAAAACGTTAGGAACTTGATATAATAGATGCAGCAATCTAGTTGTGGTGGCTGATACTTTTAATATCCAAGTAATGGTCAAGATTGGCTGACTGACCAACTCACTGAGAGTATTTAGTCACCCCACCACGAGGGCATCATGTGGCACAAGGTCGGTTTAATGTGGGATCTCCAAGCCCATGTGCTCGGCCAAAATAAGCCCATTGAACCCGTATAAACAGGTTCAGGATCGGTTTACCTCCCCGAAAGAGAATCTGCCCTTCGGTGTAGCCTCGTTCAGGTTCCTCCCTGCCCGAAGGCAGAGAGTTCAACCGGTCAGCTGGTTGTCCGACTTCAGACTGAACTCAGACCAACTCACGACTGCTACTACTACTACTTATTATAGGTGGGAGAGTCTATTAACAATAGAATAGGTGTGTTCCAGTATAACAGTTATAGTGTTATTGTGTTAGGCTAATTAATCTATTGTGTCTGGCTGAACATTCGTCTACCAGAAATCTTGACTTCATATATAAGACTTCTTATTTATATTTGTATTAACTTATTATGGAGTTAGTTTTTGATTGATTTATTTTCTATGACTTATCAACCCTTTTGCAGGTTACTTAAAGCCAGAAAATATCTTTAAATTGTAAGAAATTTTTTTTTTTTTTTGTTTTTTTTTTGGATGTAATAGTGTTTTAGTGATAGTCTTATCAATTAACACACAAATGCTGGGGAGAAGGAATGGATTCATACCTTTTCCAAGGGTATGAATATAACATACCCAACAGGAATTGGAACTTGGCTTTCTGATTAACAATTTTGAGCCATTATCCATTACATCAACTGCATATCCAAACTAACAGTACCTGGTATTCTCAAGTGGTCACTCATCAAGGTACTGACCAGGATCAATGTTGCTTAACTGGTGATTGTACAGGAACTGGTGTTTCAATGTAATGTTGCATAAGCCTATACAGTTAGGCCCAATACTTATAGTTGATAGTGTCTATCTAAACATTAGCTTACTAGATATGTTAACTTCATCATCATTGACTGTTATATTTGATGAAGACATGGGGAAATTCATATAGGTCCAGTGGCTTGAATTGTGTTGTAACAGGAGAGATTTACTGAAGAAAGACTTATTCTCCTATCTGTATTCCCCTTATTATAAGCATTATCATATTCATGATATAACAAAACCATACTTCACAGACAGAATGAAATGGCTAAAAGGAAAAGGAATGACAAACGTGCTTCGTTCTGAGAGAGACTTTTATACTACTAAAAACATACACAAAGCTATATGTACATATATACACATGTCCCATGTGGAGAATAATATATCATATATATCTACACAGCAAAGCAGAGTGTAAGAAAAAACAAAAAAGAAGGGTCTTAGATATAGTATGGAGAGAATCCTGTATCTGGAGAAGCCATGTTTAACACTCCAGATTCTAATGAGTGGATTCTAAACAGTGAGTATTTGGTTTTCCCAAATTAAGGAGTACAAGATGGAGTTTCATTCTATATCTGTTAAAGATATATACACAAAGGGAAACAGCACCATAGACTTTTAAGCTGCTGGAGAGGTAAATTTGGCCTCTGCCTGAGATATGGGGGGGGTGCCTGGGCTAAAGAAAGCAACTTTACAGTTTTGCTGCTGTAATTTGACTGCCTCTGTTTTCACTGTATGGAGTGACATCACTTGACCTATGTGAATTAACTCCACCAAAGAGAGATAATCATCTACTGTGTCCCTACATCATGATAGCCACATATCTGAACTGATCCTTGCTGGTAACTGACTAGCCTCAATACTTGTTATTCCAGTATGAAGGGTTCAGCGCAGTGCTGGGTGGTCTGCAGTCAGTTGTTCCCAGTTGTTTACATTGATATGCA